TGAGTTGAAGTCGGACGCTTAACTGACGGAGCCAACCAGGCGCCCCTATGCCTTTCTTAAAGTTACAGCAATTAAAAGGATCAGTCAAGGGGCTCCTGGGTGGCTCAGTCGGTTAAGTGTCTGACTCTTGATCTCAGCTCAGGTCTTGATCTCAGTGTTGCTGAGTTCAAGCCCACTTTAAAGAAATAGATAGATTAGATAGATACATACACTAGTCAAGCAAACTGCATTGTACCCATAAACTGCTTCTACAATTTCTTGAATATAACACATATTCCTATCTCAGGGTCTTTGCATTTACTATTCCCTCTCCTGGAAAATTCTTGCCCCTAGTTTTTATGTTCTCCCCCTAATTCATTCAGACCTGATTCAACCAAGAGCTCCTGAGTCTCAACACATACTTTACCTACTCCACTTTATCTTCATAATTTTATCACTAATTGACACTGTATTATACATTTAGGTATTTGTATAACATCTATCTCACCTAAAAGTTCTTATGCAGAAGGTCAAGAACTTAGTCTATTTTGGGGCACCTGGGTGGCTTAGTTAGTTGGTTAAGCGTAGGACTCTTGATCTCAGCTCAGGTCATGATCTCACATTGCAGGGGAATGGGCCCTGCCCTGCATTGGACTCTGAGCTGACAGTGCAAGGTCTGTTTGGGATTCTCTCTCTCCCTCTCTCTCTGCCCCTCCCCCACTTATGCATGTGTTCTCTCTCTCTCTCTCTCTCTCTCTCTCTCTCTCTCTCAAAATAAATAAACTTAAAAAAAAGAATTTAGTCCATTTTGTTCACTGCTACATTTCTAAGTGATTTCTGGAACATTTATGGGTTCAAAAAATACTTAAAGAATTAAACTAAATAATGAAAAAGTACTATTACTAAAATCCAAATACCAAATTTGCTAAACTTCAAATAACACCCAAACCAATGTTCCAAATTTCAAAAATGCCAAAAGACAATGAATGATATCAACATTTTGGGACTATTTCCAAATTAGGATACAAAATATTCTAAAGAGAAAAAGGAGGGTTATGATGTTCAAATAGAGTACACTGTTATATTTTAGAAGCCCTTCTAAATATATTTTTTTAAGATTGAGTTGGGTTTTAAGAATACAGAATACACACTATCTTCACCACATAAATCTGGCTAAAAACATAAAACAAACTTCAATGCAAAATCTCCTAAATTAGTGATTCTAAAAGCATGGCCCATGGACTGAAGACCAGCCACAAATGTTATCAGTAATTGAGAGGAAACAATGTAAATACAGAAATTGAGAGGAAACATTAAGAGACTTTTATAGCAACTTGATATTGCTTCACCATCCAAGTTGGTGATCAGCAAACTTACTTAACAGGATATAGTATAGATCAGTTAGGGGTTATCAAGTTTATGTGCTACCTCACATATGATGTGAGTTTCATGTTAATCATGTGCACTAGGTACACTTATTAGTCTGCAACAGACTGAAATTTTTTTAAAAACTGGTCCTTCACCACAAATACTTTGAGAAATACTGCTCTGAACCATAAGAGTTGTATTTACTTTGAATAAAAGAAATGCTATGAACCAAACTAGTCTATCAGAAATTTACCTTACAAACTATATCCAACATAGCCTGGTTAAATCAACATTCATCACAGGGTAATTTCAAAATATAAAGCAGTAAATTAGAAACAAGATTTCATTTATTAAAAAAATAATAAAGCTATACCTATACTTACTCTGTTTGGTGAAATAATTCTTACACATGGAAAACCTTAAAATAGCATCCACCGAAATACTTTGAAAACTAAAACCCTTCAAGAAAACAAGCTACCTATACATGTTATACAAATTAAAGAGCTTTGGCGAAAAGGAAAGAACAAGCAAAATGTGATTATTCTATTCAGTTTTTCCAGGACAAGTTTGGGGTTTGTCAATTTCACCCCTAGTCTTGTCTTTTGCACATAACAGTCGTGATGCACTTTATAGCATAATCAGTAGAAGCTGGGTTTTCCAGACCTCCTTCCTGAAGAGGTTAACTACTCAAATAACAACAGGCTCTAGTTTTGGAAGGTTAATCCAAAAGGCACATAGATCCACATAGGACTGGACTCCAGGGTATGAGTTATTTTACCATCAAGTAATAAGACTAGTGGTGTCAGAGCTGCCATGTCATCTACCAAACTTGTGTACAAAAAGAATTACATTCCTCGTATCCCTCTCCTCTATTCCACCTCTTTCCATTCTCAATAGCTTCCTCCTAGGCTATTATCCTAGTACCCTAGTCTTGCTTTCAATTTTTCCATTCTCCTATCTATCTTCCACATAGCCACCTTCCTGAAACAATAATCTGATCAAGTCATACCTTCAGTACAAAAGTCTAAATTGCTTATGATGGAGTTCAAGGCTCACCATGGTTACGACCTAAACCAATCTTTCCAGCTTCAGTTCAGTACCACCAGTCTTATTCTCTTGTTTACTATTGCATTAGCGTATTTGCTATTTTCCAAATGCCATGCCTTTTATTGTCCACACTACTTCCAATCCTTTTCTATTCTATTATGAATAGTGGGATTTACAAGCACCAGAATCTGAAGTATAAATCATTTTACCACCTTCAAACTAAATTTTCTTTCTAAAAAAAGAGAAGGAAATGGGGGCGTTGGGTGGGGGCAAGAGAAAAGAAGGAAGCACAGAGAAACATCAGCCAGACAAAACTGCTTGCCATTCCTTGAGTGTTTTGCATTTTCTCAGCCCTCCATATACTATTCCAACAGCTTAGAATGTCCTTTCACATTACATATCTGGAAAACTTATGCATATGCATCTAAGCATTCCCTTGAAAGCATGTATTTACTTATTTTCTCTCCTTTTCCTCTTTCAAGATAAAGACCATGTGTTACTACTCTTTGATTTTCTATTGCCTAACATTAAAGCTGGTTTATAGTGAGCATACAAATATTTGCTGAATGAACAAAGACATATAATGACGCTGACTTTCTAGGCTACCTCTAGCAAGATAGATAGATAGATAGATAGATAGATAGATAGATAGATAGATAGAAAGAAGAGGAGGAACATGTTCAGAGATGGCTTTTAGAATATAGTAATAATCTACTTCTTGGCCTAGGGGATGATACAGTGAAGTTCATTTTATTATAGTTCTTTTTTTTTATTATTCAACCATTTTTTTGAAAATACCGTATTCTACTCTCATCCCCTCTACACCACTTCCCAAATGTAATCAGATAAACAATCCATAATATATATTAAAGTTCTTTAAACATATACTTTTTCTAATTCTTTTATATATATGTGATATTTCACAATAAAAAATTAAAAATCAATCAAATAAATACTACAAGCACAATAAACTATAAGAGTACTTACCTCACTTTGTGGCTCCTGGATAACTTTATACAGAGATGAAACTAAAGAACTCTTGTCTTTCAAATTTGTGGCATAATTTGATAAAGATGTTTCTGGTAGTGTCTAAACAAATTTAAAAAAAATTTATTTTTATAATAGGCAAATCCATAAATAGAAAGTACATTACTTGTTACCAGAGGTTGGGGGGTGGGGGAGATTTGGAGTGACTGACAGGTATGGAATTTCCTTTTGGGGTGGTGGAATTAGATGCTGGTGTTAGTTGCATAACATTGTGACTATACTAAAAACCACTATATTTTCAGCCTAAAACAATGAATTTTATGTTATGTGAAATATATCTCAACAAAAAACATATTTAATTTTCTTGTCATCAACAAGGATAAAAATTAACATTAACACTTCATCTTTGATTGAACAGTTTGGGGTTAGAAATGAGAATACAAAACATATGTAAAGCTAGAGATATATTTTTTGTAGTATCATATAAATTCAAAATCTCATTAGTGGTATTGATCCTACCTCTTAATAAACACGTTGTATATGGATCTAATGTTTCAACCTTAAAGCCACAGATTATCTACCAAAGTAACTCCTGAGTTATATATGGTGACTGTTAACTTAGATAAGGCTGTTCAATTAACAGAGTTGGGGGCAAATTTTCTTCTCAGAACTGGTGAAAAAGATAGCCATACTACCAGCAAACTAATTTTCCTAATGCCATTTAAAATATGGATAACTAGGGGCGCCTGGGTGGCTCAGTCAGTTAAGCGTCCGACTTCGGCTCAGGTTGTGATCTCGCAGTCCGTGGGTTCGAGCCCCGCATCGGGCTCTGTGCTGACAGCTCAGATCCCGGAGCCTGCTTGGGATTCTGTGTCTCCCTCTCTCTCTGCCCCTCCCCTGCTCACGCTCTGTCTCTCTCTGTCTCAAAAATAAATAAAAACATTAAAAAAATAAAATAAAAATAAAATAAAATATGGGCCACTAATTACAGCTTGCCAGTACCACCCATTCAGAAAGGACACCATGACCAGAGAGGAATGGGAAGAGATCAAACTCCAGTATCAGACGGTTTGGGGTAAAAGTACTAGGGAAATCTGAAAAAAACAAAACAAAACAAAAACAAAACACTTCATTATAACAAATGACAAAAACCTACCCTTCTAGAGTATACCTCTTCCTTAATATCTGTCTCCAAGTCATTATTTTTTCTCATGCAAATTACCTCAATTAATCAGTCAACAAATGTTAATCTTGCAGTAGATACAGTGTCTCAGGATATTGCTAATAGTCATTCCACGGTATATACTATTTCTTATTTGTCCCATCTCCTAGTATTTAATAATTTAAAAGTTATGATTAGTGCATATACATGTACATGTGCATAAACACACACTGAAAATTAAACAGCATAAATGTTTGTACTAAGGATATATGATTCATTTTTACTTTACCATGAGTTCCTTAAGGGCAAAAACTATCTTATTATCTCTCCATCCACAGCACTCAGCACAAGGCCTCATACTCAAACCTCCGCTGAAGGGATTTAGTATAGATGAACAAAATGAGAATAAACACTGCCACTATTTACACTTCAGTAGATTCTTTAAAAATAGGTCATATTACATCTTAAGATATATAAATGAATAGATTCTTTTTTTAATTCAATAAGATAGTTTTGTTTACCAGAACAGTAAGTAAATATGAACTGTCTGGAAACCTTCCACCATTCTCCAGAGTAAAAAAAGAAAGTTTCACTGCAATTGCTTACATAAAGAGGAGATTAGGGCATTCTTCAATATTTCAAAAGCAAGTAACAAAAGATCTCCAGGCAACATTCCATTTCCGTTATTTGATCAAGAGTAACCTTACACTAGGGGAATTTATATAAAAGGGAGTAACGGTCAAATAAACAACAGATTTCTTTTTTTTTAAGTTTTTTTAATATGTTTATTCATTTTTGAGAGAGACAGAGTGTGAGCGGGGGAGGGCAGAGAAAGAGGGAGACACAGAATCCAAAGTAGGCTCCAGGCTCTGAACTGTCAGCGCAGAGCCAAGTATGGGGCTGAACCCATTAACCATGAGATCCTGACCTGAGCAGAAGTCAGATGCTTAAACGAATGAGCCACCCAGGTATCCCTATAAATAACAGATTTCTAACCCCCTGAATGGAAATGAACCTGAACTATATATATAAAATACACTATTATATAGATGTGTATGTCTAACTATAAAATCTAAAATGGAGTGAATTGAAATATAAATTTTAAAAATGATTAGTAAATAGAAAGATTATTATAATGTTACATATACTATTTAGGCTAAAACTGGAACATTCATTAAAAATGTTCATTATAATTTTCAATTTATGTACCAATTAACCTTCATGAAATAAAACATTGTCTGTGAAACAGCCAAAGACAAAAGGATAGTTCTTCTCTGAAGAGACAAACTCCAGAAAATATCCTGGACCCAGGACACTGTGCTGCTAAATGAGAGGAAGTGTCTTCTAAAACTTAGTGCACAAGTCTGTCGTTATTTCATTTTGTGAATGTGGGAAAAGCTACTTTTGTCTATAGAAGGGGAGAAAATATAATTTCTGTGTTTATAAACAGTGTTTTGAAAAACTTAAGATCTAACCATGCCTAGTGGACTTAAGTACTACTATAGCAAACCTTTGAATTTTCTTGCACTGTACTAGTTCAAAGGTACCGGCCTTCTTAAATACCAGCTAAGTTTTCTCACTTTTCAGAAGGCAGAATTTTTGTCAGAAGACAAAAAAAAAAAGTAATGGGAAATTAGTCTTGGCAAAAGTTGAAGAAGACAGATGTTTCATACTAAAGTATCATTTGGCAGATGGCTTTTTAAAAACGTAAGGAGGTGATATGGGTTGGGTAGAAGAGAATTAATGAAGATAGACAGATGGATGGAGAGCCAATAAATAAAACAACTCTGTTCAACAACATTACACATAAGACTAGATTTTGAGATTCAGTGACTACCAGAAAATTGAAAAATTAGCAGTCTAGAATTCTGCTAGATAAATCTACACATAGCATTAAGGAAAACACAATACAATCTGAAAGTTAACACTTTACAAATCAATCTTTGAAAAGATAAAAACTGAATGATTCAGAAAATATTAAAATAATGAAGTCTCAAATCGAATCACTTTGTTGGTATATAAAGAGAATACTAATGAGGGCCTATAGCTAGAGTATATACTGAAAAGTTTTTCCAAAGGCAAAAAAAAATTTTTTTTTCACACAACAAATTGTGTTGTCTTTGTGCATTTGAGAGCATAGTGAATGAAGTTAGGTTGGGAGTTCAAACTGTGACCATGGAACAACGTAAAACTAAAATCATCTTCACAGACCACCCACTCACTTTTTCTGATGAGGATATTGAAACCCAAAAAAAGTTATGTGATTTTTCCAACATCATAAAACCACACAGCAGAATAATTATGATTAGATCAAACGGTTTCTGACTTCTCAGCCCAATGCGCTTTGTACTACTTTATCAATCTGATGATCTTAGCTTTAATAGTACCATGGTTATTAAATTCAACAACCAAGCAAAGGCTTTCTCCTCCAACCCCTTCTCTCCCTCAATACCCCCCTCCTTTTCCCTCTCATTCTCTCCCTCTCTCTTTGCCTCTCCCTCTCCCTCTCCCTCTCCCTCTCTCTCTCTCTCTCTATATATATGTGCACATCCAAACTTCCTTTCTTATTTTAACCAAAATATGTAATTAACATTACAAATCATTTCAAAAGACAAAATACTTTTAAGAGATACGTTCTCAAGTACTTTTCTACCTTTTATTACCTTTAATATGCTGCTGATTTTGCCTGATAACCTTAATCTCTTCATTAAACGTAAACAGAGCTGAATTCAACATACATGAACACAATTCAGAATAACATTCAAAATAATTTTCAGGAATGCTTACCAAATTAACCAAGAAACAGAAAATGTCTTCTTAACTAGCTATAATACAGACTTGACAATAATTTAAAACATTTACTGAGTTAAATTGACTGGAAATTGGGTAAATTTAATCTTGGGGGGTAGAAGAAAATTAAATTAAATTACTTTTTAATTCATAGGGCCCAGGATTTTACTCCCATCCTCCCAATGGAAAAGTTTCTTTATCCTTGAATTAAACTTATAAAAATTTTGATAAAATAGCACTACTCACTAATACACTGTATAGATAAAATATTATTTAGATAATACTTTATTCACATCCTACTTTCTTTTAGTGGAAAATGGTACTTAGAAAATAAGATCTGGGTGCATAGTATACTCATTACTACTGGGGTGTAACTGTCATTGTTTCTCAGCCCTCCCAGTGAACAAACCTGGTAAATATATGTATGCATTTACATACGGATATACATGTATAATGATATCACATACATATTTAGATCCATGAGTCATACTGATTCTTACAATTCCAATCTAACACCTTAAGGTTCTTTCTTGCCATTCCCCATTCCATGTTTCTAATTCCTTTCTCAGACACTGAGAAACCTAACTCCCATTATCCTCCATATATTTATTTATTTACTCAGAGTAACCAACCTACCAATGTAACCCCTCTGGTTGAGTCTTCTACATGTCACCTCTGCAACCCTCCACCCTAGCTACCCACTTCTTCAAGCACTAGGGCATAGTGTTGCCCATACTGCTGCACTGCCCCTTTACCTTACTCTTCACTGCTACACTCACTAGGGTGCTATGTATCCAAGCCAGGAGGGGAAGGGAATAAACAAACAGGCAGGAAGGTAAGGAATCAGTCATGATTTTCAATTACTTGCCTTAACAGTTGACCCCTCCCCTATACCATCCTTTAACAGGCCCTCTTTCCACAACATCCATATTAAAAAATGGCTAACTGGCTATATCTGCTTTTGCAAATTTGACTTCATTATCAAACATAAGAATCCTTAATAGTACTCAACTTTTAAATTTGACAATTTCCATCAACTGTCAAAAAAAAAATCATGGTATAATGAACCAAATTAAATACTCCTAAAGCAAAAAAAGCTTAAAACCTTGAATACTTACTCACAAAAACAACATATGCAGGGGAAAAAAGCACATACAAAATGTAATCAAATTATTAAAATATGTAGAAGGTACTATATACAGTGCACTTTTATAAGATTCTACCTCACGTTATGATGATTTAGGGGATCTGTAGAAGGATACTCAACTCATGACTATAATAAATTACAAAGTAAAAATCTGCCCAGACATTTGTCAGGATGAGATAATAATGACTGATAAGACCAGCTGCAAAATTAACAGGAAACACCACTTCTCTCAAGGACACACTGCAGCTAAAGTGTCATAACAACCTCCCTTTTTGGAGTGACTAGCTATATCCTTATTCACTGAGGAGCCTTGTTATCTAAAATCATAGATATCAAAAACTTTGCTGTTTAAACATATATCAGTAAGAATGAAACATCCACTCTTTCCTGAAGGATCTAAGTCACCTTGAAACAGAGAAGCAGGCTTGATTTCTAGTCAAGATGCAGAGCTTCATATAAGGGGTTTCTGAACACAACATTCCACATGGATGTTAACTGTGTAGTTTCCAAGACAACATGATCCTGGGTCCACTCTGAAGTCCATACCAGATTTTAACTCCATTACACACAGCTCTGCTTTGTGTTAAGCCCATCAAAATACTACTCCATTTAAATTTCATCTAGGGGCCCCTGGGTGGCTCAGTCATTTAAGTGTCCGACTTCAGCTCAGGTCACGATCTCACGGTTTGTGAGTTCAAGCCGCGTGTCAGACTCCGTGCTGACAGCTAAGAGCCTGGAGCCTGTTTCAGATTCTGTGTCTCCCCTCTCTCTGCTCCTCCCCTGTTCCTGCTCTCTCCCTCTCTCTGTCTCTCTCAAAAATAAATAAACATTAAAAAAAAATTTTTTTTTAATTTTTCATCTGAATTTCACCCTTCCTCCAAATACTATAATAATTTTGTCTTTTCCTCTGTTTGGTAAGTTGGCCATATAGTGCCTGTTGCAGTCTCCTTCACTGAAACAAGCCAATTAAGTCTGACTTTGTCAGACAACACATCTGTCCCAGAAAGTGGTGGGCTCATTAGGCTAGACAAAAAATTGATAGTTGCATTAAAAACTCTTCATTCCTCTGGTTCATGATCATGAAGTTCACGTAATTATGTGTAACAAGACCCAGAGGACAAGGAGAAGGTAATTAACTGGTTAAAGAACACAATTTTAGCAATTATAGAGAAAACTTCATAAGACAAGAAAACAAAAGTTAACCAGCTAGAGAAGAATCCATTGTTAGAAAGGTGGGCAAATATCTTTCCATCTTCTCCTCATTGTTGATCATGCCCACTCCCTTTGCCCTCTAAACTGGGAGAAACATTTAAACATTGAATTTTTGATGGTGGTTAGAAAGGGTAACATTAATAATCAGAAACTTTAACCATTCTTTGTGGTGTTGCTGTGAAAAGGAGAAAACAAAATCTTTTAACCACTTGGGAGAAAAAAAGGAATTGATTTCCTAGAAAAAACTACTATGTATAAATAATTCCCTATTAAGATTTGTTGGAACATATTTCTGCTTCCATAGATATTTAGCCTTTCAGTCATTAAAAAGAATAAAAATTACAAAAAGTAAAATAAAATATATTTTTAAAAAGCCACTGTGATTTAAACCCCAGACAAAACTTCTTTGGAGTATAATTATTATATTGAGACAGTAAATATTACCTTAAACTCTGACAACCATTCCTCCACAACCCCTTTCTCTGAAGTGAACATCTTTCCACATCTGTTCTAGACCTCCAACCTGGAAGTTAACATAGAAAATGTTAAAATTTGTAATATATTTTATTTTTAGATTACTATGAATAGAACTAATCCTATAAAATTGTGTTACTTCTTTGTGAAATTAAGGCAGATTCAAACATAAATTAGTAGGCTCACGTCAAAACAATGTGCACAAACAAGTATTCAAATGCAAGAATTATAACAAAAGTATAAATATCACAACATAATTAAATTGGCTCTGCAATGTTCATTCAGCCTTTAGGAATGCCAGCTGCAAAACATACTGAATACTTTCCCCCAGTTTCAACGAAATAATTCCAAAATATCATGCATCTTAAGAAAATTTCAGAAAATAATTTAAAACTGCAAAAATATAAAAAGACATGCTACAAAACTGACTTTGTACAAAGCAGTTTAGTAATTTAATTTGCTTATATTTTGATTCTTTACGATCTATTTAGGCAAGCCAATTGGCTCCCTGAAAGCTTAATACTCATAAAACAAGAGTAAAAGTGATAATAGTCAAGATAATGATCACATTCAACAATAGTTATTCAGATTGGGATTTAGTTAAGTAAAAATAAGGGGAAAAAAGAAGCTAAAGAACATGCAAAACAAATTTAGCTCAAGCAAAATTGCTGTGAAAATACAATGTTGTTTTCTTCACCCATCTATATGAACGTAGACCTAGAAACTGTTTCTTGAGGAAAATCTTAGCTCTATCTGAATTTCCTAAACCCCTAATTCAGGCACAAATCCTGCATGAGACTTAATTTTTATCAGCATAATCATGTAGTAGAAATAGAGGTATAATTGCCCGAAACTTAATCTTGATTCTATTACTTATTTGTAGTAGAACCTTAGGCAAGTTATTTACCTTAATTTTTTCATCTGTGAAATACAGATAACCATAGCACCTACGGTCAAAGGTTATGATTAAATGAAAAATGCAAATAAAAGCACTTATTACAGTACCTGGCAATAAGGCTTTAAATACTATGCAAAATTTGTACCATATTACTGATTTTATAGAACTGTCCATTCAGATAAATTGGGCTTTGGAATTGTGTCCCAAATGTTACCCAAAACACTGCTACCTCACATGTTATCACCTTTAAAATCCAAAAAAGGAGAAAATTCACATCTTCAGTTTTTACGACTAGGAAAAACTCTCCTTTAGGGTAACTGGTTTGCTTTTACATATGGATACTATGAATCTCATAACTGATTCTCTTTGCTTTGACTCTAATAAAATGGGAGTTACAGTTTCTGCCCTAACTCTGTATACAAAAAAGCAGGCCTGAATTAATCTTATCTGTCGTTTTACATTATACTCTTATCCTTATTTTATTTCTGCATTTTTATTTTTATCTTGTTACATTATACTTATTTGTGAAGCAAAATGAAGGAAAGTAAATTTAAATACACATGTTTTCTTTTGTATTGATTCATTGTTTACTTAGTAAATTAAGATAGAAAATTATCACAAATAAAACAATGTTACATCAAATTACAGAGAATTGGGGAGGTGAAATTTTTACAAAAATTCAAAACAACTCCCTAGTTAAAATTAATTTTTAAAAGGTTGAAAGGAATCAAGAGGGATTTGACTATCAAGAATACTCAAGCAATCTTGAAGAACAACAGAGCTACAGGACTTGAACTTCTAAACATCAAGGTTTACTAGAAAATTTAACAAACATTATAGTAGTTAAGCCAGTGTGTATTATCAAAAGGGCCAAAAAGAATCAATGGAATGAAACAGGGTGGCCAG